TTTCCTCCAGGATCCAAAAAGGGAGCGAATTCTGTGGGCGCCCACCAAGGATGCACATGATCGCAGTACGTACGCAGTGGTAGTCGGCGGCGCTTGTGTTGAGACCTCACGGAGTCCTTGGTGATGTTACTTCGTCTCTAACGGGGGCGGTGGGGTAGCCTAGTGGTTAAAGCGTTGGCTCGTCACGCCGAAGACCCGGGTTCGAATCCCCAAATGGGTACAATGTGTGAAGCCCATTTCTGGTGTCCCCCGCCGTGATATTGCTGGAATATTGCTAAAAGCGGCGTAAAACCAAACTCAGTCAGTCAGTCAGTCGTCTCTAACGCGTCTACGGCGCTTACAAGGAGCGTTATTTATTTTACTGCGCTCTCACAGCGACTTCGCGGAGCTGCCACGGCGATCACGGCACTCCCACGGCGCTTATTCGCGATGGCATGGCGTTTGCAGGTCGTGACCAGTGCGTTGTGAGCCAACCCCCTAAAAATGGATAAATACATCCTCATGCTTGTCACCCTCATGACCGTTATACACCAGCAAGCCGGACTACTCGTTGCCTAGGATGGTGAAGCGCAGTAAAGTTGTCATGCAAGAAGGGTGTGCGGAAGACAACGTTGCCGTTCCCATTCCAGCAGTGGACCGTGGTCGTGGTGATGCAAGGAACGTTCTGCATGTGATCACCAATGTGAGTGACAACGGACAGTATACAATCGCCTGCCCTGTTGGTGTCCTCCAAGTCAAGGAACCAGTTCCAGGGTATACGTTACGATCACTCTCCACTATACCCTGGATGCATCCACGGCTTGGCCCGATATGATTTTATTACCTCCCTTGGCTTTCTTTTTATCCAATCAGGTGTCTACGCTGGGAAGGTTTTTTTTCTTTTTTTTTCTCTCTCTCCCTAGTTCTTTCATATGTGTGATACTCCTTAATGTTTTAATGTTATATTTTATACATTTTATGCCCATATTGTCTAGTGTGTCTAATTGGCAATCTGGCCTGGTGTTTATATTTTTCTATGTTCGTTTACCACTGCCATTTTTGACATGCACATTCACGTGACACATAAATAAACTATTTTGTCTGTCTGTCTGTCGTATACCCTGGAGATTATCGAGGATGGTTTGATTTGTGCCCAGAGAAACTCTTAACTTTATCAGAAGTCAACACTGAAACTTCAGTATCCCTTCATACTGCTGTTGGATCCGAGTCTTTATCAGCAGGCCAGGTTTTCGTAAAGTGTAAGTGTGCTGGTAGCAAGAGATGTGGAACCAAGAAATGCAAATGCTTTAAGAACAATCTTCTGTGCAACAGCCGGTGTCATTCAAGTCTCACCTGTCAAAACAAGTAATGCAAAACTCTATGTTGAAAATGGATAAATAAAGTGTTCACTTTCTTTTTGGAACTTAGATGATTTAGTCACTTGGTCAAATGACTGGTCGAAAATGTTAGTCTGGTGACCAAATGACTGACCGTTTTAGTCATTTGACCAAATGACTGGTTTGACAGATTGACATATGCGTGTCCAGGATGATGCAACATTGTGCACCTCGTTCAGGGACGGAGACGGAGGAGGTACCCAAGGCGTAGGAGGTGAGGTGAGGTGAGGTGAAATTGGGTTTAACGTCGTGCTTGAGAATATTTCGCTCATATGACGACGTGCATGCGTGTGTGTGTGTATGTGCGGCTGCTTGTACTAGCCCAGACTTAAGCTGGTTTTATAGTGCTAGCCCACTGAGATACCATGCCGCAGTGAAGCATGAATACCCTACTCAGACACATTATACTGACTCCGAGCCGACCAGTCCTTGTTGTACCCGAGCGCAAGGCAGGGACCAACAAGTACCATATTTGAACGTCTTTTGGTATGACGCGGTCAAGGATTGAACCCGCGACCTTCCGCTCTCCAGGCGGACGCTCTAACCACTACACCACGGAGGCGGTTCAAGGCGTAGGAGGTTGTGGGCACGGCAGTGGCTATATACACTTCGCGCGCACAACAGGAATGTTTTGGGAACGCTGTGAGCGTAGTGTACGCACCGTGGACGCACAGTGACAACTCCTAGCACGTTGGAGCACTCTATGAGATTAAGAGCGCAGTCAATCACTACCTGGAAATCCTTTGGAACTTGGTAGCACACCACGGGCGCTTCGTAGAGACGCCTCGTAAGGACACCGCGACATCTCCATGGTGTGAAAATTTTAAATAGAAGTGCAACGTTTCTCAGAATTTTCCTCCGATCCCACGGCGCTCTGGAACATTTCACTACGCCGTGCCAACGCGGTAGATTGTGACAAAGGTTTTAGACAAATAGGTGAAATATTATTCTGTTTTATTTCTTGATCAGGACCTGGCACATGATTGTATAAGTTATCAAATCGTGTCGAGGGAAATACGGGGTTTTATCAGACCCGAGTAAGGCTGTATTCCCCGAGCCGGAGGCGAGGGGAATACAACCTTACGAGGAATACAGCCTTTCTCGGGTCTGATACAACCCCGTATTTCCCTCGACACGATGTGGATAACGCATTAATCTAGCCAAATGTTTTTACTAAATCAAAAGAAAACAATACGCATCGAATCGACTTGTTTTTATTTATGTGAGAAAACAGCTGATCGACTGACCTCAATGCAGCGCACGTTACTAAAGGCTTGGCGATGCACGCTTTTCTCACTTCACGTGGTCACCGAGGCGTGGCGGGATAATACGACTTTTGTACTCCCTGCTCGCGGATCGTGGCGGGTGTACATGGTATTTTATCAGAGTCACGTGAACCAATCAAAACTCGACATTCTTACATGAGGCTGGATAAATGACGTTATACGTCTCTTGTGCGGAGTGATACACAGGTCACCGTAACCTTAATGCGGAACTTTCATTTGTAACATTTAAGAGATCCATCTAAACAGTCTGTGTCATACTTGGAACGTGTTATTTCTTCTCTACCATATCCTTGTTCAAAACGTCAAGTCCTAATGCACTTGTATGACGTTTCTAAATACATATACGTAGCTTTTAGAGACTGTTCATAATTTATGGCTAGGGGTGGTGGTGATGATTTTTATGGAGAAGCATGTACAATGTGAATATCCCCACCCCCACCCCCAATTTTTATGTACCTAAAATGTGACCCCCCTTGCATGTCATGTACAAAATCAATAACCCCCTTCCCTTCCCATAATTTCTAAGCATAATTTTAAACATACTTGTATAACGTAAACATATTACCGCCAAACACCCCCCAACCCCAAGCCATAAATTATGAACGGTCCCTTACCAATAGTCCAGCATCCCACTGCGCAGTGGGATTCACTTTTTGTACCCAGGTGGGACACTGAACTGGTCTTGGGCGTGGCGCGCGAACGCTTTAACCACTTGGTAGTCCGACCACCCCTGATTGTGGTGAGTGAGTGTGTTTTGTTTTACGCCACTTTTAGCAATATTCCAGCAATATCATGACGGGGGACACCAAAAATGGGCTTCACACATTGTACCCATGTGGGGAATCGAACCAGGATCTCCGTCGTGACGAGCGAACGCTTTATCCACTAGACTACCCCACCGCCCCTGATTGTGACAGCAGACAAAAAACAAACAATAGGAGTTCATTGTATAACCATACATATTTATGTTTAAAAAACATACATTATAGCATACATGTCTAGAAGACGAAACACACTATAGTCAAAGCAATAACAAGTCATTTAATTTGCACGAAAATGTAATTTTGCGCAGCAATCAACAGTTTCTACGGCTTCACTGCAGTAGTCAAGGCCTAGATTTTCAAAGCTCTCCCCGAGTGATGATGGTATCCCAGCAGACTCCTGAAGGTGTCCTTGTGCCATATTTAGTTATACTCTTTAATAAGATATTACACACTGGATCCTACCCTACATCTTGGTCTACTGGTATTATTATGCCACTACATAAATAAGGCAGCAAGTGTAATCCGAATCAGTTTAGAGGAATTTCCTTATTAAATGTGATAAGCAAAATTATTTCTACAGCTTTGAATAAAAGACTGGAGTATTGTACAGAGTTCTGTGAACTGGTTGGTGAATACCAAGGAGGCTTTAAAAAGGACCACTCGACTGTTGACAGTATCTTTATTCTTCAGGCTATTGTTCAGGAATATATTACTCGTAAAGGAGTTAAACTATATGTTGCTTTCATAGATTTTTGTAAGGCCTTTGATATGGTAAACAGACACAAATTATTATATGTTCTTTTACAAAACGGAATCCATGGTAATTGTTTTACTTTGATACAAAATATGTACAGAAATGTTAAAGCCACTGTATCTTATGATTTTGGTAGCAAATTAACTGAATATTTAGATAGCTCCTGTGGGGTTCGTCAAGGTTGTGTCCTCAGCCCTGTGCTGTTTTCTTTGTTCATTAATGAACTCAAACTGTCACTAGACAATACATTTCAGGACAGTATATTAATATCCGAAAAAAATGTTAAACATTATTGCATTGTTGTTATATAGTTTCTAGATGATCTGATTTTGGTTGCTGTCTCTGTAGTTAAACTTCAACGTCGTCTTGATGCTTTACATATGTATTCTTACAACTGGGGTATGGATATTAACATTGATAAAAGTAAAATTATTGTTTTAAGATGGGTGGCCCTCTATCAAAGCATGAAAAATGGCTGTATAATGGTACTCCAATGGAAACTGTGAATGTCTATAAGTATCTTGGTCTTATGGTAACGCCTAAACTTATTTGGACTAAAAAATGTAAAAAACTCTCTGAACAAGCTAGTAAAGCACTTTGGCCTGTTAAATCATTGATAAGGCGGTATAATATGTGTTTTTGTGATGCTTTCTATATTTTTTTTAAGAAGATTGTTCTAATTATTACATATGGCGCAGAGGTCTGGGGTTTTCAAAAAAGAGAGAATATTGAAATTATCCATCGGAAGTTTTGCAAATTCGTGTTACAAATTGGTTACAGATCTCCTAATGCTGTTGCTTATGGGGAAAGCGGACGTAAGCATTGTAAAGCTGTTGAAGATGAGGCTCATGTTATATACAACTGCAAGTTTTATGAGAGTTTTCGGCAACGTCTTATTCCAAAGACATCAAGTGGACACTACGTCTCCATTCAAAGTCTCTGTACATCCGTAGATATTAATATCATTAACAACTTTGTGAAATATTTGAAATATGTTTATTCTGAGAAACATTGTTAGCAAACACGTTTCTTCGATCCATACTATGTACTCATTTGGTAACTCAAGAACCATACTATGTATTACTTTATATTGTAGGTCGTATGGTCTTGTATGCAAATATATTATGTCCAAAGACATCAAGTGGGCATTACGTCTCCATTCAAAGTCTCTGCACATCCTCTGACATTAATATCATCAACAACTCTGTGAAATAGTTGAAATACGTTTATTTTGTGAAACATTGTTAGCAAACTCGTTTCTTCGACCCATACTATGTACACATTTGGTAACTCAATAACTATATTATGAACTATTTTGTACTGTAGGTCGTATGGCCTCATATGAAAATAAATCGCTCTCTCTCTTAGAGCTAAGATAGCCGTAAGTTAATGTTAATGTACGGCACTAAGGACCATCTTAACACTAGGAGAACTTCGAAAATCTAGGTCCAGTTCTGAAAGGGTCATAAAAGGTGATTCCATGAATTCTGACCCAGCATCACAAACATCGAATAATTCAGAGCACCTGCCTGTGAATAAGCAATGTATTAGATTACTAATATACTACTCAATGTTTGAAAAGGATCTTCTGTGTCATTTGTTTGAAATTTCATAACACCAATAAACAAGTGTCCTTGAATGAAATTGGTAATACATTTATCTTCAAGAAAAGAAATGATAATTATGAAAATATGTTGTAGTTCTGTAAATGTATGAAAATATGTGGACATATGTTATTTTGGGGATTACAGAGTCTCAGTGAAGTATAGTTTCTAGTTATTTTATGGGTTGAGTCCAATCTGGGATTTGAACCACTCTATGAGGCACCAATTACCAGCGCAAAAAGGACTTGGATCTTTCCTTACTGGGAAAAATATAATCACAAATATTACATGTTACATTTGACCGCTTTACTAACGGAATTGTTTATTCATAAGCTTCAGCCATGGGAACTGTGCCAGTCTACACTTGTGAGGGGTACACAAAGTATAGGTCCGTCTCCTATTCTCGCGGGTTTCCTATTCTCCCAGTATACACGTTTTCTGCCGAAATCGCCGATGCGCGACACTTACCGGTTGTTTACATCACCGACTGGTAACTAGGAGGTGGACCAAGTCTGTAAGTGATCAAAATCTTGCAGTGTCACGAATATTGGGGAGTTTATGCCAACTTGGACATATCATTACTTTTTTCAGCCCTTTCCGGCAGGATTGCTCTTACATACACTCAATAACCTTAATTCCTGGTAATACCGCGAGAATGGGAGAAGCCTCGTTTCGTCAATGGCGGATCTTATTGTTTATCACCGGGCTCACGAGTGGTATTTCACCTGATAGATCTAGCAGCTGATATATGTAAATGTTTGAGGAGAAGGCCCTTCATTTAAAAACAACAAGCATTCATACGATAAGAATTGTTTGTGTTATTTTTTCAGCCGATATCCGTAAGTACCGCGAGAATAGGAAACGCCTTCCTAATTGCTCTAAATCACCAGGTGTCAGACTTCCATTTGTGGAAACTTCTGTGGCTCAGTGGGTTAGATTGCTGACTTTGTGCATTGGCCTTAAGGCGCCTTACTCTGTGAGCATGGGTATGAGTCCTGTATGGGACTCTATCCCAAAAGTACAAGGATCCGTAACGGTACTTTACTGAGAAACCCTAATCCCAAATATAACTCATGTTGCATTTCACCACTTCTTAAAAGGCATTGAGCGTTCATATCTGCACATCCCTATGAAATACAGCATATTCTGTTGTAGTTATATGGCACAGTTAATTCATAAGAATTTGTATATCACCACAAGATAAACTTCATAATGTATAACAATAAGATTACATGTGAAATACATAATCAAATATATTCAAGTAGGTATGTAAAATATTTATGATCTACATCTTACAGCAGATATATTTCTTGTTGGTGTGCATTCTTACGTGTGTACTGCACTGATGCACAACAGTTTGTGTGTTTCATGAAAACAAGCAGATTAGTTTCATGGCTTAATGATTCACATACATATTTTAAAAAAAAAAATGTCAAAATTTGGTGTCCAAGCAGAAGAGTACTGTAAATAAACTTTGGTTTAACTTTGACAAAACTGTCGCAATTCCATATATAATCCATCAATCTATTGATACTTAACTAAATTGTGGTTTAAAAATGAAAGAATAAATCATATTTTTTCCAAATGCTGACATTCTTGAAGCTGCAATTGATTCCAAACATTTAGCAGGCAAATTATGGAAACATCATAATGTGTTAAGTTTGATTTGTTTTTATGTGATAAATTAAGCGAAACTGGGAATTTTTAAGCCATATTGTGTTTTTAAATATTTGCTGCAGACTGAATATTTTCCTCTGATATTGGGAAACCCGAGAAAAATGATTGACAGGTATATCTTCATTATTGTAACATTACTGATTTAAAGCAAGATGGTTCCTGCCTGACAATGATGAAAAGATCTGAACCAAAACGTTGCTATGGCAGTAGGTTAAAGAAATCGTTATCCATACATTTCAACCAGCTTCAAGAGTTAAGGAGTACTTGGTTAGAACTTAACACTAGCACTCTGGCCCGAGGATAGTCCAAATTCTTTTGGGCTAGTCAAAATATAATAATTTACCAATTGTTTTAGCAAGGGTATTTATCTCTCCCCGGACTAGAAAGTGTTTAGTTCTAACCCTGTAGAATGAGTCCATGGACCTTCAGCAGCATAAAATAATATGATTTCATGGGGTGCCAGAAACCGGCCTTGTACACTGTACACAATAAACACAACTGATTCAGGTGGATTCAGTTCGATTCAGTGGGATGATCGTGAACATGAGTGATCATGTAACTCCAACAAATTCTAACAAAATGTCATATTATAATAAATTGGATTTGAATAAATTTGCATTAATATATTTTATTAAATGATCTCCAACAAATTCTAACAAAATGTCATATCATAATAAATTGCATTTGAATAAATTTGCATTAATATATTTTATTAAATGATCTTCAACAAATTCTAACAAAATGTCATATCATAATAAATTGGATTTGAATAAATTTGCATTAATATATTTTATTAAATGATCTCCAACAAATTCTAACAAAATGTCATATCATAATAAATTGATTTGAATAAATTTGCATTAATATATTATATTAAATGATCTCCAACAAATTCTAACAAAATGTCATATCATAATAAATTGATTTGAATAAATTTGCATTAATATATTTTATTAAATGATCTCCAACAAATTCTAACAAAATGTCATATCATAATAAATTGGATTTGAATAAATTTGCATTAATATATTTTATTAAATGATCTCCAACAAATTCTAACAAAATGTCATATCATAATAAATTGGATTTGAATAAATTTGCATTAATATATTTTATTAAATGATCTCCAACAAATTCTAACAAAATGTCATATCATAATAAATTGGATTTGAAAAAATTTGCATTAACATATTTTATGAAATGATCTTCAAATCCTTGGCAGTGAAAGTTTCCTCAGTACTATCATGGAATGTTCTTATCAATGTTAACTCTATAGAAACAGGTGCTTCTCAAAATATTCTGCTCATATTTTTGGTAAACAGAAAATAAACTTATCTAAAATTGTTAAAATAACACATTTGTGAAGTTAATAATCCAAAATCCTTGTAATGAAATAAAATATACAACTAAAAAGACGCCAAAGAACACCAGATGGCCCTGCCAGATTAACTATTCTACATGAGAAAAAATTGGGTTGTGATGGAGTGTACTGTTTAGCAAAAAGAGCAAAAACATTATTGTAAACTTAATTTGATTCAAATGTACATCACAAAAGATTACTATAAAAGCATCATGAAAATCTGCAATTTGAATAATAAAAATTCACTGTTTATTGCAACTAAGCCAAAATCTTGTAAAAGTCATTTCTAGATCAAATAAAACAACAAAAACAATCAGTTAGTATTTGGTATTTGCAAACCATGAATTACAGTGATAAAATTGAAGCAGAACCAAAGGTCCGATGTTTTCTTTATCAACTGACAATCTGTATCTTGGTAGAAAGATTTCTTCATTTTATATTTCGATTTGGAACATTTTTAGAAAGTAAATATGATACGTAAAGGCTGCTAAAAGGTCCAAAATATAGGCAACTGAGAAAAAGCTGCACATGTTATACAGTCTATTGATTTGTCACACACCCCTGTATGACCCTCAATGCTTGGTGTTCATTAACATCTTTCAAGAGGTGTACATTGCCACAGAGAAAGACTACAACCAACTACGGCTTTGAACAAAGGGCAGACAACTCTCAAAGTCTGAGTATCAACTAACACAAATAATGGTGAAGATATGAAAAGAGTACATGATACCTGCTATAAATTGCTTGATGATCATACTGAAAAATAAAACAATTCTCATTACTTTATGAAAAGAAAAGAAAGGTTCACAATAAAAACATTTCTGACAATTATAAACAGATGCAATGGAACCCACTCATAATATTTTAAGGGACAAGGAGAAAATGGTAATTATACTAAATATTACTGACTCCTGATGATGATGATGCAGAAAATGAATGTTATTATGATGAGAATATGAACTGACGAACAATCCATGTTTAGTGAAGATCAGCTTCTGTCTCCTCAATGCTGCTGACATTAAATGTAGAAAATTCAGAAGAAAGTAAATAAGAATGATAAGGTGTTCTTTTCATGCTGTCAAAGATCACGATGAAAATGACAGTGAAATGTCACTTTCACATTTCCTGTTAGTTGTATCTTACGACAAGCATGAGTTACTGAAGATCACTTCTAACCCAGATGTTCACCGTACGGGTTGCTATGTAAAACGACACCCTGATCCTTTGTCTTATGAATGATATGTGTTGAAATGCATACAAAC